GAAATCATTTAGTCTAACCCTCCTCACTTGACAGAGAAAGAAACTGAGGCCCAGAAAAGGGAAAATAGCTTGAATAAAGGTCCACTGAGAGTGTTTGGAGGAGTGGACACCAGATCCTAGGGTCTCCTCAGAGCTCCTTTGTCTACACCACCCTCCCGGCCCTTTTTGTGTCACTGAGTCAGAGCTAAGTAATAATTACGTTTCGGTGACCTGGGAGGGTTTCAAAGGCTTTTCCTCACGACAACCCCCCTGTGGTAAGTAGTCCAAAAGTTGTAGCTCCCATATGAGGGTTGAGGAGCCCGAGGCACAGAGAAGTGAACTGCTTTGGCCAAGGCCACACAGCTTAGGAAGCAGAGGAGTCAGGATCCAGATCCACATCTCCTGGCTCCCTTTGTACCACGCTGCTTTTCCAGAGGCTTCCCCAGCCACAGACCACCAAGATACATCCCCAGCTAAGCAGTGAATGAAAGACGTACAAGATGAGGTGAATGTTAGGAGCTGCATTTCAAGTAGCAGAGTATTATTAGCGTGTGCTTTGGTTTGGTGGGGACACAGAGCCTGTGGCCTCCCCAAAATTTCTTGTCCCGCTGTTTTCCTCCACTGCCCCAGAACCTGTTAATTCTGTGGCAAAGGCAGATAATTGCAATATTAGACATATTATATAGTAGAGAACTTTGAAGTTGACAAAGCACTTTTTAGGTGTTATCATATCAAATGAGATTCAATCCACACTAACCCTGGTAGGTAGGTACTATAGGTATTATTATTCCCATTTTATAGGTGAGGAAACAAAGTGCTCATGGTTAAGGAAGGATTTGAACCCAGGTCTCTCTTGACATCAGGTCCAGCTCTTTCCACTACATCTTACATCCTCTAGTGATTGCCAGCTTCAAGGAATTCATTACAGCCCAGTACCAAGGACAGAGACATTGTTGTCATTTAGGATGTGCAGGAGCTGAGGACTGGGGAATTTATTGAGCCCAGGCCTTTGACAGTGAAGACCCACATCATCCTCTCCTTGATCCAATTCCATCTGACTTACCCATTCATTTGATTATTTGTGGACCCTGTTCTCTTCCACTTTTTTTCTTTTTTTTTCTTTTTTCTTTTTCTTTTTTTGGTGAGGCAATCAGGGTTAAGTGACTTGCCCAGGGTCACACAGCTAGTAAGTGCCGAGTGTCTGAGGCCAGATTTGAACTCAGGTCCTCCTGACCCTGAGGCTGGAGCTCTATCCACTGTGCCACCAAACTTCCCCCTTCTCTTCCACTTTTTGAGATGTCCCCACACCTATCTGAATCTCTTTTTGCTATAGGCAGTTATCTTTCTAGGTGAAAGCAGCTGTGCTTGTATGTACCAGATGATTAGATTTGAAAATGGGTGGGTGTGGGAGAAGTAAAAGCAAGGGGAATGAGAGTGAGAAATCATGAGGTTAGAGGCTGAGGGTGGTGTGGTGTGAGATGCCCTGCCTGTGGCAAGGGTGCATTAATAAACTCATTCTGAATAGAGATTTTTTTTTTTTGGCTAGGCAATGGGATTTAAGTGACTTGCCCAGGGTCACATAGCTAGTAAGTGTTATGTGTCTGAGGCTGGATTTGAATTTAGATCCTCCTGAATCCTGGACCAGTGCTCTATCCATTGCGCCACCTAGCCACCCCCTAATAAACTCATTCTGAAAGATCCCTTTAGTGGGCATTGAGTCCAACTTTACTCATTTCATAGATGAGAAGACAGTTTTATAGAAGTGACATGACATGGCCAAGATCATGTCCCATCTATTGAGTGACTGCATTTGGTCAGGAAGGAAGTGTTTCTTCTGTGCTCAGAGAGAAGTCAGGCATACTCTGGCCTGGATCATGGATAGGAACAGGGTGAATGAGGGGATCCCAAGTGAGAAGAACCAGAACCAGAGCCCTGATGATGGAAAGGAGGCCTCCAAGCATCTGTGTGAGCTGAGGACACACCTAGACTTGGTTTTCTTCTGGCTGCGGACACCAGCCTAGCCAGAGGCTAGTGCCCTTTCTGGGCAGTAAAATAACAGAATCTTAGAGCTAAAAGGAATTTTGTAAGTTAACCCAACTTGTACATGCATGATGATCTCATCTACAGTGTCCCCAACAAATGGTCATTGAGCATATTTAATTTGATAAACATTTATGAAGCACCTACTGTGTATGAGGGAGGCAGCATCCTCCATTCCAGTAGGAATGATACAACATGTATGAAGATTAAAAAAATGCAAAGTACATTAAAGTAAATACACAATTAAAAATACAAAATAATGCAAACAACTGAGTAGAGGGAGGGGAAAGATCAGGAAAAGTCATCTGTAGGAAGTGGCCTCTGAGCTAAGCCTTGAAGCGAACTAAGGATTTTAATTCAATTCAACAACTCTTTATTAAACACCAACTATATGCCAGGTATTGTGCTTAGAGCTAGAGATACAACAACAAAAATGAAACATTTATTGCCCTATAGGATCTTGCCTTCTTGGAGAGAAGGAGGGAGAAGGGAACACCATACACACGCATAAGTAAAGACAGAATATGATACAAAAAGTAATTTCCAGGGGAGGGAGGAAAGGAATAAGCATTTATGTATCACCTACTATGTGCCAGGCACTTGCTAAGCACTTTTACAAGTATTATCTCTTTTTATCCTCACAACAATCCTGGGAGGTAGATGCCATTACTATTTTTTTACTCAGTTGAGGAAACTGAGGCAGAGGTTAAGTGACTTGCCTAGGGTCACACAGCTAGTAAGCATCTAAGGTTGGATATGAACTCAGGTCTTCCTGACTCCAGGCCCAGCACTCTATGCACTGTGCCACAGCTACCTCTTTGCTAGAGGAGAACAGAGGTCTAATATGAAAAGTAGTTTCTCTAAAAGTAAGACTAGGATTTGAGAGAGCACAATGGAAAGGTAGAGAAGGATAGGATGGGGGCGCAGGAAGTACAAGGCTACTTGCCATAGAGAGGTCTGAGGGAGTAGGGAGTGGAGGTCCAGGAAGGGAGCTTGTAGCTTTGATTGTCATGACCTTTATAGCAACAAAGGTCCTGCTGATTTGATTATCAGTATCTGAAAAAGAGGGTGTGGGGGCACCTGAGAAGTAAGAGCAGATGGCTAGTCCCTGGTCTTGCCTGACTATCAAGGCAGGAGTCCTGAGGCCAGACTGGTCATAGTGGGATGAGGAAGTGCTCACCTTCTAAGAGATAAATCAATCAACATTTATTAAGTACCTACTATGTGCCAGGTACTGCTCTGGGCATACAAAAAAAGAGGCAAAAGATAGTCCTTGCCCTCAAGTAACTCACAGTAAAAGATGGATATGACAAACAAATATGTACACACAAGCTATATGCAGGATAAATAGGAAATAATTAACAGAGGGGAGGCATTAGAATTAAGAGAGGCTGGGAAGGGCCTCTTGTAGAAGATGTGATTTTAATTTGGCTTTAAAGGAAGCCAGGGAGGTCAGTAAGTAGAGATAAGAACTTAGCACGTAGGGGACACTTAATAAATGTTTATTGATTGATTGATTGAGGAAGGATAACATTCCAGGCATGGGGGACAGAGAAAATGTCAGAATGGAGAGCTGGAGTATCTTGTTTGTGGAATAGCCTGGAGGGCAGTGTCACAGGCTCAGAGTACCTAGCACTGAGTAAGGTGTAAGAAGACTAAAAAGTAGGAGGGGGCCTTCTGTTTTGTTTTGTTTCTTCTTTCTCATGGTTCCTCCTATGAGTTCTAATTCTTCTTTACAACATGAGTAATGTGAAAAGATTTTTAATACGAATGTATATGTAGAACCTATATCAGATTGCAGGGAGGTGGGGATGGAGGAAGAGAAAGTTTAAAACTCAAAAGCTTATGGAAGTGAATGTTGAAAACTACAAATAAATTAATAAGAAAATAAATAAATAAAAATTAAAAAAGTTCAGTAGAAAAAAAAAGTAGGAGGGGACTAGGTTATGAAGGACTTTGAATGTGAAACAGAGCATCTTGTATTTGATCCTGGAGGCAATAAGGAGTATGTTAAGTAGGGGTGGTGGTGGAGGGTGGGGAGGTGTGTATGACATAGTAGGACCTGCACTTCAAGAAAATCACTTTGGTGGCTGAATGGAGAATGGATTTTTGGAGTAGGAAGAGAGTTGAGGCAGGCGGACCCACCAGCAGGTTATTGCAATAGTCCAGGTGTGAGGTGATGAGGGCTTCGATGAGCGTGGTGGAGTGTCAGAGGAGAGAAGGGGACATAACCGAGAGATGTCACGAAGGTGAAATCAACAGGCTTTGGCAAGAGATTGGAAATGATAGTGAGGAGATAGTGAGGAGTTGAAGATGACTCCTATGTTGTGAGCCTGACGAACTGGGAGGATGGTGATGTCCCCAACAGTAATAGAGAAGGCAGATTGGGATGGGATTTAGGAGAAAACATAATGAATTCCATTTTGGACACACTGTGTTCAAGATGTCTACATCTAGTTCAAGATGTCTGAAAGGCAGTCAGAGATGTGAAAATGGGATAAGCAGAGAGATTGGGGCAGGAGAGGTAGATATGAGACCAGAGATGGTAATTTAAATCTATGGGAGGTGATGAGATCACCACGTGCAGTAATGTAGAGAGTAAAGAAAAGGCAGTAAGAAAGCAGGGATCCTCAGCAGTGGAGCTCTGGGGGTGGGAGTGGGGTGGGGGTGGAACTTCCACCATGGGTGGGTTGTCTCTCCAGTTGCCTACCTCACCTGAGTTAGCTCCAGGTTCTGTTATCCCTCACTATGGCTCTGAGCATTGATGCTCATGGAGAGAGTGGTTTCAGTAAAGTGGCAGGACTGAAAGCCAGATTAAAAGTAGTGAGAAAGGAGACAGGGAAATGGAGGCAGTAAGTATAGATAGCTTTTTCTAAGAGTTTGGTTGTGAAAGGGAGGGTAGATACAGGATGATAGCTTGAGGGGATGGCAGTTAAGTGAAGGCTTTTTTTAAGCATGGGAAAGACAAGCTTATTTGAAGGCAGGAGGAGAGGGAACCAGAAATTGAAAGAGGTTGAAGATGGCACAAAGCAGGGATGATCAAGGGAGTCCATTTCCAGAAGAGATGGGAAAGTATGGGGTCAGGGACACAAGCCAAATCATTGGTCTTGGCTAGAAAGAGGGTCACTTCTTCCTTAGAGACTGGAGCAAAGGAGAGAAGAATGGGGGAAGATGTGGAAGAGTTTTGAGATATAGGAAAGGGGAAAAGAGGAAGCTCAGGATGGAAGGTGACTATTTTTTCAGTAAAGTAGGAGGTCAGGAAATTTGCTAAGAGGGAGCACAGTATATGGAGACTGAGGAAAGTAACGGTTTCCCCAGCCACTGTGGGAAATGAGATAGAGAGTAAATCAGTGAAGATAAAAGAGGGGGGCAGGGGAACAAAAGGAGCCTCTCTCTCTCTCCCTAGACCCCCGCCCTGATGGTTTGTAGCTGTGTATGTGTGTGCAGAAGCCTGGTGTCACATAAATAATACTGAATTTGGAGGGAGAAATCCATTCAAACTCTAGTTCTGTTACAGCTGTCTTGCTTTGGGCTAACCAGTTTCTTCCTCTGGACTTCAGTGCTGTCATCTGTCAAATGAAAAGTGTTAGATGATCCTTCCAATCCTTTCCAGCTCTAAATCTCTAATTCCAACTGTATGCCCTTGGACAAGTCACTTCCAAGACTCAGTTTTTCTTTCTATAAGAAAGGAATAGTAATAGCTGCTCTACTTACTTCACAGACTTCTTTGAAAGGAAACAAGCATCTATTAAGCACCTACTGTGTGCCAGACACTAGACACTGTGCTAAGCACTTTATAAATATTATCTCATTTGATTCTCTCAATAACCCTGGGGGGTAGGTGCTATTGTTATCACCATTTTATGGTAGAAGAAACTGAGGAAAACAGAGGTTAAATGACTTGCCCAGAATCTCATAGCTAAGTAAGTTTCAGAGGCTGTATTTGAACTTGGATTTTCCCAAACCCTGTCCCAACACTCTATTCACAGATAGAGCCTCTTTTGAGGAAATGTTTTATAAATCTTCGCAGACTCTAAGCATAAGTTACAGTGGTTGTTACTTCAAGGTGAGAGGGGATCAGGTACATTCTCTGAGGCTGGAAGCCACTCATCCTTTGGGAGAGGCAGCTGACATGTGATTGGCAGATGCCAGCCTAAGCCCAGACTTTTGCCACGTGCACGATGACCCCTACTTGCCCATTCTTTTCTCCAGGTGCAGCAGTGTCTGAAACAGTTTGATGTGACAGAGAAGCAGTTGCGGCAGATCCAGGCAGCCATCCTGCAGGACATGGAGCAGGCCTTGAGCAGGCAGACGGACCCCTCTCCCACAGTCCAGATGCTGCCCACCTATGTCCGATCCACCCCCCATGGCACTGGTGGGTTTCAGGGCTTTGGTAGCATCAGGCCCCAGAAACAGATGTATCCCAAGAGCAAAGTCACTCCTGACCCCAACTCCCTGAGCCAGACCCCAGGGCCAGGGTCTAGGACCTCAGAGAAGGACCAATAGACAGCCTCTCTCTCTTCTTTCTTCTCTAGAAGCTATGCCTCCAGCTTACTATTCTATACCCATCCCAGGGAAGATTTAGTGGTCATGGCAAGAAGGCAAGGGGCTAGAGATAGGGGAGGATTTACAGGGGGAGGGCTCTCCTGGTGAGGGTAGGAGCAGGAAACAACCTTCCTGTCCCTATTCTTCTCTTCCATTCTTCCATCCCCAACCCCAGAGCAGGGCAATTTCCTGGTGTTGGAACTAGGAACCTCAGGAGCTACTTTGCGGGTGCTGTGGGTGACACTCAGAGGCACTACTGGCCCGAGAAAAGAACCAGTAAGCTGGGAGTTCACCATCCCCACAGAAATCACGCTTGGCACTGGTCAACAGGTAAGCTGCTGGGTCTGTAGTGGCCAACATGCCCAAGGAGTACCCTAAAGGCTCTGGCAAGCTCTGGGGGGAGAACTTGATGTCCAGTGTCCCCTGGAGGCATATTATATGGTAGGCCTTTCCAGAGGCCTGGTCTCTGGCTGTTAGGCCAGGTGGTTTGGGCAGGATGGATTGGTATGCAGTGGTCATGTTCCTAGAAGCTGGACTTTGTCAAATAGCTGAGGGATAACCGCCATGGAGGTCAGAGCCTCCCACTGCACTGTGGCCTGGCCTCTCTTCTTCCTCACTTGTGCCCAGTTTCCCTGATCTCCCCCAGAAACCTCACTTCCTGTTCCTACAGCTCTTTGACTTTGCTGCTGGCTGCTTGGTGGAATTTCTGGACCGGCTGAAGGTGGGATCCCAGCCCATCCAGCTGGGCTTCAATTTTTCCTTCCCCTGTCACCAGACAGGCCTTGACCAGGTAAGATGGGGGAGCCTTGGGAGCTTTCAGCCTATGGTGAGTTAGGAACTGGCTGCCAGCTCCCTTGATGAGCATCTCCTGGGGGAAGAGATTTATGTGGGAGGGAAACAGAGGGATGACAGCAGAGAGGATTAATTAATTGCCCCTTTTTGCTCCATCCCCAGAGCACCCTTATTTCCTGGACCAAAGGCTTCAGGTGCAGTGGTGTTGAAGGCCAGGATGTGGTACAGTTGCTGAGAGAGGCCATCCAGAGGCAGGGGGTAAGAAGAGGGGAAGGGTAGGGGGAATTTGGGTAAAGGAGATACCCTGGAGCTGGGAGTGCCAGGAATTCTATGAGGATCCCCAGCAGGACAGCGGGGCTGCTTGTGTGTGCATGCATGGAGGGTTGAATCCTGGTCCTGCTAATCTGCTAATTTTGACCTCTGTGAACTTGGGCAAGTGAATTCTGCAACTGAATCTCTGGGTCGTGTTTTTTTCCTCTGAAAAATGAGGGAGTTGGATTGGATCATCTGAAAGGTTCCTTCTAGCTCTAAATGGTGAACTATGAGCATGTAGCTAATTAGCCAGAAGAGATATTGTGCAATGGAAAGAACTGTGGATTTGGAGTCATGAGATTTGTGTCTGAGTCACCCACTTAACCACTATGTGACCTTAAGCTAACTATTGCCATCTCTGAGCCTTAATTTCCTCTTCTGTAAAACAAAGAGATTGAAATAGATGATGTCTGAGATGTCTATATAAGGTTAATACTTAAAGAAATTAATTCAGGCTGTTCACTGGAAGGTCAAATGCTGAAGCTAAAATACTTTGGCCGCATAATGAGAAGACAGGACTCATTAGAAAAAAACGCTGATGTTGGGAAAGATTGAAGGCAAAAGGAAGAGGGTGAGATGGATAGACAGCGTCACGGAAACAGCAAACATGAGCTTGGACAGATTTTGAGAGATAGCAGACGATAGAAGGGCCTGGTATACTTCATGGAGTCACAAAGAGTCAGGCATAACTCAACAACAATGTCTCTATCAGCTCTACTGTTGTAGTTATTACTCTGAGTATTTATCAGAATCCTACTATGTGCCCAGTCCTCTTGGAGGAGACAGAAATGATTAAGTCCTGCCCTGGAGGAGCTCACAATATTGGGGAGATAATATGCATGCAAAGCCTTCCTAACAACACCAAGCAGCCTTTGCTACAGGCCTGGGGAGTAATAGTCAGTGCTCTAGGGTTCAAAAGAGAAAGGCATCGTTGTGCTGGGCCAGCCAGACCCCTTCAGCCTCCTAGCCCTAAAATTCTCTAGTTATCTGGAGTTGAGCCTCAGACGACGAGCAGGGTCTAGACGGGCCCGCCAGAAGGGATGGCAGTGATGGGGGTGCAGACGTGATGTGCAGGGGATGTAGGAAAGAGAGCAGGGAGACCAGCCTGACCCTAGCTTGGTTAGACAGTGGTGTGAGGTGAAGGTATAAAAGTAAGGTGGGACTGGACTGTGTGCTGCTTCAGATGTCAAACTGAATTGTTTGGTTGTTACTCTGTAGGAGGTGGGTATATGACAAACACGGCATTTTAGAGAGGAAAGCCTGGTTGTATGCCCAGTGGAAGGAGGAGAGACTGGAGTTAGGAAGAATGGCTAGGAGATAATTATAGTAGTCTAGGCAAAAAGCTATGAGGGCTTGGCCTCGGATAGTGACTGGAAATAAGAAGGGTTGGGCAGATGAAAGAGAAAAAACTTTTATAAGACTTAGTGACTGATGAGACGTGTGTGAGTGGGTGGATGTGGGTGTAAGAAAGCAAAGTCAGAAACGATACTTGAGGTTTTTAGCCCAAGTGACCAGGAGAATGGTGATGCCATTGACAGGAAAAAGGAAGTTAAGGGGAAGAATGAGTTTTGGGGAAAAGCTAAGCTCCCTTTTGGACATGTTGAATTTGAGGTGCCAATGGGAGTCCAGGTTGAGATTTCTGTGCTCAAATAAAGGACTGGAGAAAGAGATAAGGAAGTTGGCTGGAGATAAGAGAGAGATAAGAAAGAAACCATTGCAGTGGATGACTTGGCAAGGGATGGGATCAGAAGGGAGGAGAAGGACCATTGGCTTTATAATACTGTGAGTTACCATATAGTAGCAATTTACAAGAGGACGCTAGTTTGATGATTCAAGAAGCCAGTGTGTTTGACAAATAGTAGAGCTAAAGAAAAAATGGGAGAGGCCACAGTAAGGGGGCCAAAAAGAGTACACAGGGGTAGGAGGAAATCTAGGAGAGGCTAGTATCATGGAAAGCAAGGCAGGAGAGGGTGGTTGGCAGTGTCAGTGATACAGAAATGTTAAGGAGAATGCAAGCTGAGAAAAGATAATGAGATCTGATGATTGGGGGTGTCACAAGTGACCATGGAGAGAAGGGTTTCAGTATGGTGATGGGGACTAAAGCCAAGTAGCTAGTTGTTGAGGCATGAATGATGCCTCATGGGAACTTAGGCTCACAAGCTGGGAGAGACCTTAGACTCTAAGGCTTAGAGTATCTTTAAGGAGGAAGAGAGGGTAACCACTCAATAGAAAAGTGTGGCAGTGAATGAAAGGATAGAAATAGAGTGGCTGCTCAAGGCATGGGGTTGGGTGGGGTGGGTAAGGCACCATTTAGAGAAGATTTTTTTTTCCAATATAAGCAAGATCTGAATGTGTTAGAAGGCAAAGGAGATGGTTCTGGTGCATCTCCACACTGGGGGTGGGGACAGTTGGTATGACTTCTTGGCATTGTACGAGAGAACATTCATCTTATAATTGGTAAACCTGATGTTTGTCTATTAAGACAGCTAGCTAGAAAGGGTCTACCTGTCTTCCACAGATGTCCTAAAGAGGAACAGTGCCTCTTGGGTGACTCATAATCTTTTCCACTGTTACCCATCATATCCATTCCATTTAATTCAACAAATATTTATTAAGGACCCCCTACAATGTGCAGGTACTGTTAGGCACTGGGGGTGCAAAGACCCAAATAGCAACGAAGACCCCTTCGCTTAAGGGTCTTAAAATCTTCAGGGGGAATAGAATATGTACACAGATATAAATAAAGGTAATTTAATTAAAGTAATCTAAGGATCTGGAATAAGACAGATCAAGAACAGCCTACAGTAGAAGGAAGTATGGATTTGAATAGATGGATGTGAGGAGGGAATACATTCTAGATGTGGAGCCATTCCTATGTAAAGGCATGGAGATGGGAAATGGATATTGTTGGCAGTCTAGCTAATTGTTTAGTTTGGCTGCAATGTAGAATTTATAAAGAAGAATGTTACGAAATGATGCTTAAAAGGTAGATCTGAACTGGATTTAAATAACTTTAAATGACTGACCGAGATCTCTGTATTTTATCTTTAGAGACCATAGGGAATCACAGGAAGAACGTTTTTGAGCAGGTAGCCGGACTTGCATCTTAAGAATATTAATTTGGCTGTTATGTGGAGGATGGATGGGAGAGGGGAGAAACTGGAAGCAGGGAGACCAATTAGGAGGCTATGGAAATAATCCAGGCAAAAGGGAATAAGGGCCTGAACTAGTGGGGTGCTATGGGAGTGGGGGGGAGAGAGGGAAATGGATGTGAGTGATGTGGAGGGGAGGGGGTAAAAAAGACAAGACTCAGCAACTGATTAGCTCTGGGTTTGAGGGAAAGTGAGTTTTATTCAAGAGTACAGAGCTAGGAACAGTGGATGAGAATTGCAAAGAGAAAAAATTTAGGCTTGAAGTCAGGAAAAGCATCCTGACAACAAAAGCTATTCCAAAGTGGAGCGGGCTGCCTCAGGTGTTGACTATGTCACTCCTCCATTGTGAGTGGAGAGAAGGGGATGAATGTGGGAGATGCAGTGGAGATATGACCATGACGCTTGTCAGCTGACCGGATATGGGAGATGAGGGAGAGGGAGTGCCAGGCACTGTGCTAAACAAGTACCTCATTTGACCCTCACCACAACTCAAGAAGGTAGGTGCTGTTTTTTATTCCCATTTTACAGTTAAGGAAACTGAGGCAGATAGAAGTTAAATGACTTGCCTAAGGTCACACAGTTGGTAAGTGTCTCAGGGAGAGGGAAGAATAGAGGATGATGCTGAAATTATGAAACTGGATGTCTGGAAGAAGTATTCTGCCCTCATCAGAATTAGGGGGAGTGTGGAGAAGGGATGAGTTTTGAACAAATATAATGAGCTCAGTTTGGATAGATTGACATTGAATCCAGCAAGCAGTTGGCAATGCTGAACTGGAGTTCAGGAGAGATTTTAGAACTGGAGATATAGATTTGAGAGGTATCTACATAGAGATAAGAAGTGAATCCATGGGAGCTTATGAGATCACCATGAGAGTTTAGAATAGAGCCTTAATGAGCAGGACATGGGTGTTAATCCAGCTGGGGAGACTCTGTCAGCTAGGTATGGCAAGCCCCAAGATAAGAGTGGTGTCATGGCAGCCAAGGGATTTATGCCTGGCTGCTGTCAGAACTGGCTTCACGGGCCATCTTTTTGTTTCAGCATCTGCTTGTTTAAGGAGCCCCATGCCTCCAGGCTCCTCCTATCCAGCCTTCCTACTCCTGCCAGAATAATCTTTGGTTTTTAAAACAGTCAATCAGTAAGCATTAATTCAATACCTACTATTTGCCTGGCACTGTGAACTAGATGCTGGGGATACAAAGATAAAATTGCCCTCATTCTCGCCTTTTACAGTTTGGTGCCAGTCTGTCTCATTTCCAGGTTTATTGAGAATCATACTCCTTCACACACTTGACATTCCAATCAAATTATCTTCCTTGCTATTCCTGAACAGAGCATTCATCTGCCATCTCTATCCATGCCTGGGTTATACTCCCGCCTCCCCTTCAGCCCCACAGAATCCCTAACTTCCTTCCAAACTAAGTTCAAGTGCCACCTGAAGCTTATCTCGATCCCTCCTGGTGCAAATCCTCCCTGTCCCCACCCCCATCCCCAGATGTTTTTTGTTCACTTTGTAAATATTTCGAGTACTTTTCTGTTTACAATTATTTCACCCCCAATAAAATGAATGCTTTTTGAGGTCAGAGGCTGTTTCATTTTTGCTTTTGTATCTCCACACCTAGCACAGTGCCTGGCACATAACAGTCCCATAATAAATGTCAATGGAATGTTGAATGAATTGATAGGTATGGGCGCATCATTTACTGGAAGGGACAGTAAAGATCATCTTGTCCCTGTCCTTTATTTACCGAGGAGGGAATGGACTCAGAGAAGTTACTTAAGTTGCTTAAAGTCCTAGACATCAGAGTCAGGATTTGAAGAGAGGTTTCAATACACTAGTCACACTTCTTTGCCTCTCCCTCAAGGCCCTCCACAATCCAGCACCATCCCATCTTTGCAGACATCTTATATTTCTCTCCTCCATGAACTTGTCTGTTCTGGTCATATTGGCTGACCATTTGTTCCCCAACTATGTCTCTATGCTTGTCAAATTACAATCTATTCTTTTTTTCCTTAACTGTAATATTTCATTTCCCCCCAATTTCATGTAAAAACAATTTTAACATTCTTCTTTTTTTTAAAGTTTGAGTTCCAAATTATCTCCCTCCCTCCCTTCTCCTATTGAGAAGGTAAGCAGTTTGACACAGGTTATATACATGTGCACTCATGCAAAACATTTCCATGTAAGTCATGTTCAGTCCATTCTTTAAAGCCCAACTTAAAAGCTACCTTCTCCAGGAAGTCCTCCTCAATCCTCAGGTCAGGAACAACTAACTTTCTGCCAAAGGGCACTCACTTCTGAATGTCTTCACTTATGACTTTAGATTGTAATATGGCGTTATCTGGGTTTGTGTCAGCTCCAAAGGCAGAACGAGGAGCAATGGGTAGAAGCTGTAGAGACAAGCTCTGGTCTGGTGTCAAGAAAAGCTTCCTAATGATGACAACTCTCTGAAAGTGGAATGGGTTAACTAGGCACTGAGTAGGTTCCCCATTCGAGGAGCTTTTCAGGCCTCTGCTCCAGGGCAGTTTGTTGAAGGGACACCTGTTCAGGTATGAGTTAGACTAGGTGAATAACAGAATCTCTTCCAATTCAGACACAATGCTCTGTAAACAGCAGGTGCCAAATAAATGTTGAATGAATGATGTATTAAATTTTATTGATTCCAAGAATGTGCATCAAAATTAGATTGCAAGGCGCAGTGGATAGAGCACCAGCCTTGGAGTCAGGAGGACCTGAGTTCAAATCCGACCTCAGACACTCGACACTTACTAGCTGTGTGACCTTGGGCAAGTCACTTAACCCCATTGCCTAGCCAAAGAAAAATAATTAGATTCCAGTCATGATATAGCACCAAGTGCCCAGAAATGTATCTGATGGGCAGTGGTGATGGCATCGTGTCTCCTCACTGTCTCCAGTCAGGCTCTGACCACCCTCTACTGACCTCTCTTTTCCCAGGCCTACAACATTGATGTGGTGGCTGTAGTGAACGACACAGTGGGCACCATGATGAGCTGTGACCCCAGGCCTCAGGCATGTGAGATCGGGCTCGTTGTAGGTGAGGATGCTTCTGCTCAGGGGGCTCGTGGGGGTGCCCATGCACCTGCAGATCCTGTAACCAGTCCCCTCTGGCCACAGACACAGGAACCAATGCCTGTTACATGGAGGAGGCCCGGCATGTAGGGGAGCTGGGGGAAGACCAGGGGCGTGTCTGTGTCAACGTTCAGTGGGGTTCCTTTGGAGATAGTGGGGCTCTGGAACCTGTGCAGACACCCTTTGACCTCCAACTGGACCAGGAATCCTTGAACCCTGGGACTCAGAGGTGATGCTGGAGTTTGGGGAGGATTGAGAGGCTTTGTTTTCTGTGTCCTAATCCATCCACCCCTCCCTAACACCTGTGCACCCTTTTGAAGAAGGTGAGCAAATGAATGTTAGTGCCAGGTCTCTTTGGGGGCGGGGCCTTGGTTTGTTGCATCTATTCCCTCCCACCCCAACACCCCCTCCACTCGAAGAGCTGAGTCCACTGTGCTCATTTTGTTTCCCTGCCTTGGGGACAAGCCTTGTGATGCCAGTGGTCCCTTTTCTGCTCTGGACCCCAGGTTTGAGAAGATGGTTGGGGGTCTGTACCTGGGAGAACTCGTACGCTTGGTGCTGATCCATCTGGCTGGCCAGAGGGCCCTTTTTGGTGGCGTCACCTCCCCTGCTCTGCTAACCCGTGGGTCTGTGCACATAGAGCATGTGATGGAGATAGAGGAGTGAGTTGGGGGAACACTGGGAGTCCCTGGCCTGGAGGGGAATGTGTATGTCATGGGGCGGGTGGGGGTAGGTGGGGGAGTGGGAATAGGGATTAAGGGCAGATGATCCATGGGGCATCCCTTCTATCTAATACTGACACGTGGCCCCTCAGCAGCACCCCGATTGCAGACCTGTGGTGATGAGATTTCAGGCCTGGACACCCCCAGTCACAGCTCGGTCCCTTCCCTCTTTAGCCCCTCTCACGGCAGGGCTCGGGCCCAAGCAGTGCTGCAGGGGCTGGGCCTGAACCCCAGCGCCCAGGACTATGAGCAGGTACAGCAGGTGTGTGGGGCTGTGTCTGCCCGGGCTGCCCGCCTCTGTGCTGCTGCCCTCACCGCCATCCTTGCCCGAGTGAAGAGCAACCAGGAGAGATCCCATCTGGGCGTAGCTGTGGCTACAGGGGGCCGTGTTTATGAGCAGCACCCCAGGTACATGGACTGGGGGGGTGAGGGATGCGGTAGGCACAAATCCTAGAATCGTGGGCCCTGGAGGTGGGAGTGTCTTTATGGGTGATCTGCTCCACCCTCTCATTTTACAGAGGAGAAAACTGAGAGCTAAAGAGGGGAAGAGATTTGTTCAAGGTCACATAGCTGATCAGAAGCAGGTGCAGGAGTTGAACCCAGGTCTGCTGTCACTGTTCCTTAGTTTTCCCCACCCCTAAAGTCATGACTGAAGCTTTGATTTGGTGGGGGAAGAAGAGGAGGATTGCTTAAAGACCTGTCACCCTAGTGGCAAGTGGAGTATGCAGTTTTAGTTCTGAAGCAGGGGTAGGGGCGCTAGGTGGCGCCATAGTGCACAGAGTGCCAGGCCTGGAGTCAGGAAGTCGCCCAATTCAAATCCAGCCTCAGACACTTTCAGGCTGTGTGACCCTGGGCAAGTCACTTAACCCTATTTGCCTCAGTTTCCTCATCTGCAAAATGAACTGGAGAGGGAAATAGCAAACCACTCCAGTAACTTTGCCAAGAAAATCCCAAATGGAATCACAAAGAGCCGGACACAACTAAACTAAACAACTAAAATTAAACTCAATGACAAGTGGGGGTAGGGGCTGCTATGTGGTAGAGGAGACTCTATTCCCAACCCTTCCACCCCCACCATGATCCCTTTCCCCACTGTTTTCCACCCAGTATCCTTCCCACCTGGGGGTCCCAGGCCAGCTCAGCCATTCCATTGTCTCATCTAGACAGATGAGGAATAATCAGTCAATCAACAATAATTTATTAAACACCAATTGTGTGCCAGGTGGATGTGCTAGGCTCTGGGGATACAAAAACAAGCAAACAAACAAACAACAAAACAGTCCATGCCCTCAAGGAGCTTACATTGGATCAGAGGAAACAACATGTACAAACATAAGTAAATATAAAAACTCTTCAGAGACACTGCACAGTGACTTGGGAGGGGGCAGGGAGTCAAGAAGTCTGGGTGCAGGTGATGATGGCACCAGCTGAGCCTGGAAGGGAGCTAGGGATTTGGAGAGCCGGAGGGGAGGAGGGGGGGCATTGCTGCAAGGTGGAAAGGAATGGAGACAGGAGAGAGGAGTTCGTGGACCAGGAATGGCTAATAGGCCAGTTTGGCTGGAATGAAGAGTGCCCGGAGGGGAGTAATGCGTAATAAGCCTGGAAAAGCAAGCCAGTGCCAAATTGTGAAGGGTTTTGAGGGACAGAGGAAGTTGTCTTTTATTCTAGAGGCAGTTAGAAGCCACCGGAGCTTTGGGAGGCAGGGAGGGCTGTAGCCAGGCCTATCTTTTAGGAGGATTACTTGGGAAGCTGGGTGGAGGATGGAGAGGGAAGAAACTGGAGGCTGGGAGACCAGTGAGGAGGTGATAAGGGTCTGAATTAGTGTTGGAGCTGGGTGAATGGAGAGGAGGGGCAGCTGTGACAGATGTTGTGGAGACAGGATTAACAACACTTGGCCAACTGGCTGGATCTTGCAGTGGGGAAGAGAGAAAGGCTGAGGGTGACTCAGGTTGAAAACTGCTAGAAGGATGGTGATAAACATGACTGGAATAAAGCAGGTGGGAAGAGCCATAGGTTTCAGGGAAAGTATGAGTTCTCTTTTTGCTGTATGAAGTTTGATGTTTCTCCTGGAACTCCCTGGTAGAAGTGATGGTCTCAAGATGGAGAATGAGACATACATTCTTATAAGTGGCTAGGGTGGGAATTTCTTTTGCTTGACTACATATGTGGTTTAAGGAGTTGGTTTTTTTTGTTTGTTTGTTTGTTTCTCCTAGGGAGGTGTGTGGTGTGTGTGTGGTGTGTGGTGTGTGTGTGTGTGTGTGTGTGTGTGTGTGTCTGTAGTGAAGGAGGGGGATGGAAGAAAAGAAATGATTGTTAATTGAAAAAACATTTTTAGAAAGAGATTTCTTGTCGGAAATGCCAATAAGTAGTTGGTAATGCTGGCTGAGCTCAGGAAAAAGACTATAGAGATGGATGTGTCGATCTGGGATTCATTCTTTGGCATAGAGGTGATCATTAAACCCATGGGAGTTGCTGAGGTCACCAAATGAAAGTGAAGAAGAAGAGAGGTACAAGGCAGAGCATTGCAGGGATATTCACAGTCTGGGGGCCTGACATGGATAATGTCATCAAAAGAGACTGAGAAGGAGCAGTCAGAGAGGTGGGAGGAGAACCAGAGGAGAGGTGTGTCGCAAAAACTCAGCAGAGAGGTATCTAGGAGGAGACGAAGGTCAGGGGTGCCCAATAATGTAGAAAGGTCAAGAAGCCTGAGGAACAATTAGGGACCTTGGGGTGGGTGGGAGAAGGGAAGTAGGAAGGAAGGATTTACTAAGCACATACTGTGCTAAGTGCTTTACAAATATGACCTCATTTAATAGTCACAATAACCCTAGGAGGTAGGTCCTACTGTTATCCCTATTTTACAGTAGAAGAAACTGAGGCAGACAGAGGTTAAGTGACTTGACTAGGGTCCAACATCTAGTAATGGTCTGAGGTCAAATTTGAATTCAGGTCTTCCTGACTACACCCCAGCGCTCCACCTACTGCACCTAAATGTGGAAAGCAGGGTAGTACTGTGCTGAGGGCACAGCAAATTTGGGCATAGATGAGGCCCAGTTTTCTCCTCAGGTCTCTTGTGTTCCAGGAAAAGAACACCCTACCCCAGGAGCCTGCCTGATAGAGCTGACGCAGCACTGAATATACAGGAGACCTGGTTTCAGACATAGGCAGCTGGTAGCAATGGATAGAGCACTGGGAATGGAGTCAGGAAGACTCGGGTTCAGATTTAGCCTCAGACACTAGCTTTGTGACCCTGGCCAAGACATTTGACCGCTCTTTGCCTCAGTTTTCCCATCTGTAAAATGGGTATAACAATAGCTCCTGTGAGGGAGAAGTCCTTGGAGGTGTGGGGGGAGGCAGTGCCAGGCTGAGAGCTTCGTCCTCTCCCTGGCCAGGTTCAGCACCATCCTGCAGCAGACAGTGAGGCTCCTGGCTCCAGATTCTGATACCACCTTTGTCCCCTCCGAGGATGGTGGAGGCTGGGGGGTGGCTGTGGTGACCGCTGTGGCCTCTCGCCTGGCCTTACATCGACATCACTTGGAGGAGACCCTGGCACCCTTCCGTCTGGACAGTGAACAGCTGAAGGCTGTGCAGGCCGAAATGCGGGAGGCCATGGTGCGGGGGCTCCAGGGCGAGGACTCCACCCTACCCATGCTGCCCACCTATGTCTGTGCTACACCTGATGGTACTGGTGAGTGTGCCCGATGGCACTGGGGAGAGTGTTGACCCCCCAGGACACAGGGCATGGGGGCCCAGAAAGGAGCAGTGGGCATTTCGTGTCTGCTCCCTACTTCTGAGGCCCCTGAAATCCTATGGTGATGACAGGAGATTGTGAGGGGGTCTGGACTTCTGGTTGGGGGTCTCCCATGCCTGTGGTCTAAAGTGCCCCTCCTTGGGCTCCTGAGGCTGTGGCTTGTTTTGCAGAAAGGGGCGACTTCCTGGCTCTGGACCTTGGGGGCACTAACTTCCGGGTACTCTGGGTGAAAGTGGGCAGTAGGAGCGAGGGAGGTGTCAAGATCACCAACCAGGTCTTCTCCATTCCTGAGAGTGTGACCCAGGGGACTGGGCAGCAGGTACCAGTCCCGCCCCCTAGCCATCACCTTTACCAATGGTTTAGGCCCACATTCCTTTTCCCAGGCTGGAGGCTGGGGCTGGGTTGGGCTGGGGGGTGGGTGGGAGGAAAGGGCAAGGTAGGGGAGGGGGAGAGAAGAACTCTGGCCCAGTTTTCTGAACCTGGTCTTCCTCTCTTACCCCTGAAGCTCTTTGACCACATTGTAGACTGCATAGTGGACTTCCAGAAGGAGCATGGTCTGAGTGGACAGACCCTGCCCTTGGGTTTCACCTTCTCCTTCCCCTGCAAACAAGTTGGCCTGGATCAGGTAAAGAGACTTGGGAATGTGGAGGGAAGGGATCAGGGGAGACAGAAACAGCAGCAACAGCAGCAAGGACAGGCTGGGAAAGGGTGGAGGGTGAGACAGGACTAGGAAGAAAAAATTAAGCTTCTGGAACTGCCTCATGGCACCCAGAAGCTGGGGTTATGGGCCTCCTACTTACTACTTTGTTGCTAATTAAACCATTTAAACTTAGCTTCTCCAAATATTGTATCTTGGATCATTCTACCATCTGTGTGTCTCAGTTTCCTTTTCTGTAAAATGACTAGATTGGTCTTGATGCTCTCTGAGGTTCCTTCCAGTTACAAATCCTGTGAACTCAGACTTCTCTTTCCCCTTCCCCATTTTTGTCTAATGCTTTTGAACTACCTTTGGAAAAAAAAATTGCCTGCAGATAGCTCTGTTTACCCCAGCTTGTTTCTAATTCACTCATTCTGGACTCATCATCTGGGCTTGGCTTCTGAAAGGGCCAACTTGTTATCTTTCCTAAATATTTTGAAACCTTCCAGCTAATGAAATTTAACTAGATTGTGAAGTGGAAAAGTATAAATGTAACTTGGAGGAGAGACAAGGTCTTGGGGTGCTGACACTGACCTTCTGTGGACAGGTCACTCTGCATGGAGGGTGTTGGGACTGTGGAAGGAATTAGTCTTTGATGTATCTGATCTGTGATCTGTCCTGAGCCCCCTTGACATTTATGTCCTGACTTGCAGGGTATCCTCTTGAGCTGGACCAAAGGTTTTAAGGCATCAGACTGTGAGGGCCAGGATGTCGTGTCCTTGCTTCGAGCTGCCATCAGACGCAGACAGGTAGGGCTTCTATGGGTCGGGGGGAACTTGAATGGGGAACCCAGGAGTCCTCATCTGGTAAGGACATACGGGGGCTCTCACTTTGGGGATGCTAAGAGCTATTTCATCTAGGGAGAATGGAGGACCTGCTCTGGTTGGCTAGAGAACCTTTCCTGGGGGGTGATTCAGGGTTTCCCACGGGATTGTTGAGGGGCAAGTTTTGGGGAGGGGGTCTAATCTACCATCCTGGGAGCCCTGAAGTCCCCTTAGCTGGAACACAGGTTTCACTGAAGGCAAGGACATTGCTCCCTGCTTCTGGGGAGGGTCCTCTTTGCCAGAGGCTGTAGGCCCAGCATTGGTTGCCATGATGACTGTTGCCTGACAACCGGTGGCCTTTTGTGCACAGGGAGTGGAGCTGAACGTGGTGGCCATTGTCAATGACACAGTGGGGACCATGATGTCCTGTGGGTATGAGGACCCCCACTGTGAAGTCGGACTCATTGTAGGTGAGTGCACGAGAGTCTTCATAGGCTCTGTGGTAAGCATCCTTTCCTTACCCCCACATTCCCTGATCTGCAGCCCACTGCTCCTAACGACTGAAAGGCCACTTGTCAGTCATTTTGTCTGCAAGCTCTTTCTGAGCCCCTTCTTGGTAGCCCCCTGAAGAGTGTAAAACACTGTCTCCGCCCTCAGGGAAGCTCCCGTTTGCTGGGGTGGGGGGAGGGAGACAAGACTCTCACACCTGTAAAAATGGTGGAAGAATTGACTGGGAAACTTCCTGGTACTTGAGTGTAGTGGTACTGGCAGTGAAAGGTCAGAGAAGGGAGGGATCTGTGTGGGTTGGACTAGACAGGGAAGGCTTCATGGAGGAGGACTCTTGTTGGATAAATCATAAAATCTTAGAGTCCAAGTGCTGGAAAGGTAGCGTAGGAGTTATGTAGCCCAGGCTCTCATCCCGTGCAGAAATCTCTTGTATAGTGTGTGTGTGTGTATGTGTGTGTGTGTGTGTGTGTGTGTGTGTGTGTGTGAGAGAGACAGAGACAGAGACAGAGACAGAGACAGAGGGAAGGAAGGAGAGAGACAGAGACAGAGAGAAAGAGAAAGAGACAGAGACAGACATGGAGAGAGAGACAGAGAGAGAGAGACAGAGAGAGAGAGACAGAGAGAGAGAATGAGAGAACTTCAGGCCTTGCTCAAGCCCTTCTGGTGATAGAAAGCTCTCCCTGTTGGAGCAGCCCATTCCATTTCTGGACAGCTCTCATCATTACAAAGTTCACTGTGTGGAACTGGGTGAGGTCACATTTGCTTTTATTGTCTCTGTTTGTACCCCTTGCTCCTAGTTCTACCCGCTCTGGCTACCCAGAACCAACCTCGTCCAGCGTTTCCATGACAGCTCTTGGGCTATTTGGAAAGACTGGCCCTGGTCTTCCTTTGTTTGGCTAAAGAGCACTGAACAGTTAGTTCCTTTATCCAATCCTCCCGGGGCATGGTTCCTTCTCACACCCTGCCCCTCCATCCTATTGGCCCTTCTCCACTTATGCTCACTACTTGTCAATCTCTTTCCCAAACTGTGGTGTCCAGAACTGAACAAATAAGACCCTCCGTCTCTCAGCTCTGGGCATCCTCTATGGCTGTCCTCCATGCCTGGAACATTTCCCTTCCCCATCTCCACTGATCTCTGGCTTCCTTCAAGTCCCAGCTAAAATTCTACCTTCGACAAGGAAGCCTTTCCCCATCCCTCTTAATTCTGGTGCTTTCTGTTAATTATTTCCTATTTATCCTGTATATAACTTGTTTGTATAGATGTTTGCTTGTCTCTCCCATTAGATTGTAAGCTCCTTGAGGGCAGGGATTATCTTTTACCTCTTTTTGTATCAGGAGCAGTTAGCACAATGCTGGGCACAAAGCAGGGCAGAGGACAACAATACTTTTATTATTCTTCCATCAGATCTTTCTTAATATATCCTGAAGTCACATTAGCTTTTTTTGGGGGGGGGGTGGGGGAGGACTTCTACATCTCACAGATGATCCATCTTGCATTTGTAGTCCACTAAAACTCCCAGGTCTTTTTCACACAAACTTTTATCCAGCCACATCCTATATTTGTGTGGTAGATTTTTTAAAAAAAACTTACATGCAATTACATGGTCCCTTATTAAATTTCATTTTTATTAGATTTGGTCTATCATTCCAGCTTATGGTTTAAAAAAAAATCCTGATTCTGTCGTTAAACATGGCAACTATCCATCAGCAGTTTTGATAAGCATGCCATTTTTACCTTCATCCAAATATTTGAATAAAATAAAAACGCTGATCAAGTCAAGGCTAAGGCCAGAGAGCCCTAAGGCGCCACACAAGAGACTTGGCCAGTCAGAGGTTGACACCAATCTCCTAATTAACTCCTGTGGCCAGTTGTTCAACCGTCTGTGAGTGCACCTAATTGTACTATCATTTAAGCTAGCCCTCTCCTCATCCACAAAGATAACATGCCAGAGTCTCTCAAATGCCTTGCTAAAATACTTACTCAATAGATCTAAGGAGCCAGTCTCCTGGTCAATCGAAGGCTAGTAACTGTTCAAAAAAAGGAAATGAATTGAATCTGGCATTATTTGTTTTCAATGAGCCTAACCTGGCTCTTCGTGATAGCTTTTGCCATCATCTGAGTGCTGGCCTATCACCCATTGACTGACTAATCGATTCTAGACTTCTGCCAGGGGTTGACTTTCAAGGTCAATGGCCTCTAGTTTCTAGAACCCATCTTTTTCTGGGGAAAAAAAGGTACATTATTTATCCATTTTCAGTCCTGTGGACTCTCCTGTTTTTTCATTATTCCTGAAAGATAACTGGTAACTGTTCAGCAGTTACATTTTCAAGCTCTGTCAGTACTCTGGGGTGTAATTTTTTTCAGTCCAGGAGACAAACCCATTTAGAGTAACGGGGTGTTCCCTTACATTTATTTCACCTCTTAACCATATTTGTGCTATATTTCCCAGTCTGAAGGTCATTCTCCTTGACAGAGAAAACAGATACCAAATGGTAGTTAATTCATTTTACTTTCTGGCTGTTATCTGTTTATCGCCTGCCCATCCACTGGTCTTATCCCATCCCTGTTTCTTCTTGTCCCCAATATAACTTTTTAAATAACCTTTGTTATCCCAAGCATTCATCGTAGGCCTCAGCTTGCTCTAGTCCGGGACATAGCTTTCTGTATATCAAGGACCCCTCTGGCAGTCTGGTGAAGCTGATATGTCTTTTCTCTGGATGATGTTTTTAAAGAATTGAAGGAAATGCTAAATTTTATTTACAGGTTAGTGAAAAGAAAGGTGTAATTTTTTTCCCCATCCAAAGACACAGGCCTCCTGAAATCTATCCATAGACCTCCCCCCCCGCCCCCCCCCCCAAGCCTGTTTCATGGTCCTGAGGTTAAGAATCCCTTTGTCGGTCTTTGGCCTTTCTGACACTGTTTCTACAAGTCTTGCTGCACTTCTGTATTTGTCCTCAGTTATATGCCCTTGCTTTCTCTCTCTCTCTTTCTCTTTTTTTTTTTATTTGAGCTCATCATATAACCTCTCCATGTAGTCATAAAGGAGCCTCCAAAGCCTTTTTAGATGTTTCCCTCTTTCTTTTCTCTTTGGGATAATAGAAAGTTGCACTGTCAGAATTTCATCCTTGAACCTCCTGTTCTTCTTGAACTAGTTTCCTTTTAGGATCTAAGGCCAAGGAGTCATATTTTTCCTTTTTTCTGAACTCTTTTAAAATTCATTCCCCTAAAGTCTAAATCATGGATTTAGAGCTAGAAAGTACCTTAGAGAGCCTCTATATTAGAGGTGGTGTCTTGCCAGTTAAGTATTTTGCCAGGGTCACAGAGCTAGTGTCTGAGGCTGGATTTGAACTCAGGTCCTCCTGACTCCAAGGCTGGTGCTCTATCCACTGCGCCACCTAGCTGCCCCCCAGAGGTGGTGTCAAAAACACATTGCAGGGGGCACCATAACCAAGTGAGGCCCAAACCAGATGAAAATGTAATTCGGAAATATTTAACAAAATAAATAAAAATACAATATAATGTGGATGATATTAATATGTGGTTTTCTAAGTCCATATGTGTCCCACAGGAATCCTTAAGTGCAGTTTAGTGGCCCCCTTTTCTATTTGAGTTTGACACCACTGATCTAGTTCAACTTCCTCATTTTGCAGAAGAAGAAACTTTTGAAACTAGGAAAGTGGTGAAGTGAACAGAATTCTGGACCTCGGGTTAAGAAGATACAGGTTCAAGTCCCGTCTCTGAGACTTACTAGCTATGTGACCCTGTATGCCACTTAATAGATTTGATGTCTTATTGATCCCCTTGCATTAAGATGTTAAATTAGATTTATTGTCAGCAAAACTACCACCCAGGTCTGAGGGCTACTACCACTAGCTACTACTACCCACTACCACTTGTTTTTGCCTGGCCCAAGCTAAAGTTGACAGGTTGGACTTGGCCCATGGGTGAGGCTTGCCAGACTGTGTTCTATGCATTGGCATATAGATGCGGGCATAAATATTTTTCCTCACCCTTTGCTGAGGTACTTCCTCTGTCTCAATTAGTTTAAATAAAGGTAGACTGAGGTACAGACTCTGAGAGAGATCAGTTTACTAACAGTGACATGTGTCACTATTGACAAAGCTGGTTGGAGGGACAACCTCAGGAAAGCCAGCGACCCCCCAGAGAAGGAAAGGACCCTCTTTATTAACACACAAGAAATAAGGGGGCTTGGTGGGCATGGAGAAAAGGGGATAGGTTGTACGACTGGGGCAAGAACTTTATGATTGGCTGTACTGAGAAAGGTGGGCTGGCGTTCAGGTGAGGCTAATCATGCCACCCTCTAGCAATTAAGGAATGCTAATTGTTTTACAGGACCCATGTGGATCTGGTAGTCTTTGCTAGGACATCAGAATGAACAGACTTGCTTTCTCCTTGGAATAGATAAAACCTTCCTTAACTACACAAAGACAGGAAAGGGCAGATGACATATCTTTCGGGGATGGTAATTTTATAGGGCTACACAAACATATCCGTGAAGTATCCTAGGGGAGACCAGCATGAGAGATAATAACCTTTCTTTTAAGCTAACTTTAAGGTAACTGAGAGGGAGAACTAGATTCCTGAGCTCAGATCAAGGATGTAGCAATGTGGCTTGAGCAGTCATTTAAAATAGGGCGGTAATACAGAATAGCATCAATGACAGAGTAGAATCAATTATCAAATGGTAAAAATCAGCTTAATATCTTCACCTCTACAGAATTATTGGCCACCTCCTCCATTGTTGTACACCTTCCTGAGCCATCACTGATGTTTCTCACTTTCCAATTTAGTGGGATAGGACTTAGTAGGCAGGAGGTATAGTGGATAAAGTATTAGACTTGAAATCAGGAAGACGCAAGTTCAAATCCTGCCTCAGACACTTAGTAGCCATGTGGCCTGGGCAAGTCACTTAGCCATTCTCTGCCTGTTTTTTTCATCTGT